GGCTGACAAGCTGTCCCAGCTTCTCAAAGTTTCCTCAGTCAAAATGTTTTTGTAAGAACAGGAACAGATACAGTAGTTGGTAAGGATGACTGGAAGGTCACATCTCTTTTCATTTCTTCCATGTTTTGCCTGAAGGGTCGTTATGGCTGAATCCTTTTCCACCATCTCTCTATCACTTTCACAGATGCAGATATCAATTAGTGATTCCACACATGTACAGCTACATCATTCATATGACACGGATATGTGACAGTGAACTACAGCTGAACTTCTATTCAAAGAAAAACAGTTAATTTTCAGAAGGACTGTGAATCTGACTGGCCAAGTTCACTATAGTGTACTTGTCATTTCTACAACATCCAGAAATTTTGCAGAAGCAGAGAATTTATTCTAAAAGCATTACCCTATCGATCTGTTGGCATCAAATACATTTATATTCTAGAGTTTGTCACTTACTATCATTAGTTAGAAGGAGAGGGGTCACAAACTGTAGTTATGAGTAACGGATAAATAACTTTTTAAAGGACAGATCATCTTTTGCTCTAATTAGACTCACAATGTATCAAAGACCTAAGGTTGTCACTTGGGTTCCAGCCAAACATGTCATCACTGTGTCTTCTTTTTCATGCAGAAACATTCAACCCCTATAAGGATTCTAGAGATAATATGTGCCACATGCCTGTTCACGTAGACAGACCCAGTAACGTTTACTTGCATAGTTCTAAAGTAGACTAAAGTAGTTCTAAAGAATTCAGTGGATGACTTCAGACTATCATTACGAGTAATATACTATTGTTTTGTGAAAAAATACATTATGTCTACTCTCTCCGCAGTATGTTGAACTTCTATTTCTTGTTAATTGGCTGGTGGCACCGTTAAAATATCTGGGTTGGTTCTTATTTTAAACCCAGGAAGGGGAGAGATGTATGAAATTGAGAATTTCTCAGTTCCTCCATCATTGTGACCTTGAGCAAAATGCTTTTTTGGACAAAAAGCATTCATTAAGTGATGAATAACTGAACCCACAGTCAAGGAGAAGTCGGTGAGAGTCAAGTTTCTCTCTGGAGGTAGATGTGTGTGTGTGTGTGTGTGTGTGTGTGTGTAGATGGGCACAGAGTCTTGTTTTCACATCCCTGAAATGTCAGATGTTCTCTTATAGACAAAGCATTAATTCCCACGGGAACCTCTGGTCTGCTTTGGTAAAGGGAGCAGAACAATCCCCTTTTCACATTTACCACAAACATCAGCTCATACAATATGCTGAATCAAATATGTATAGGATTGCGTTTCACATGGAAACTGTAGCTTGATTAGTAAACCAGGGAAGCAAGATTTTCCCACCCACTATTCTTTTCTATTCATCATTATATGTGTCCCAAAGCAGATCCCTGAATCAGACAAAGACCCCATGACATCTCTGTGACTCAGCTAAGTAAAAAGGTTGTTCCATGATAGGAAACTACAGCATTTAAGAATCATCTTTGTATTCACATATTTTATATCACATTGACATTTGACTTCCTCCGATAGACACTTTTTGCCTCTGCTTTCTCTAGCAATGCCAATAACTGTGTGACCCAGCAAACTCTCATACAAACACTTCAAACTGCCATATTTCAAAGAAACTTGAGTCATATAAATAATGACAAATTCACCCCAACCTAAAGGACTAAAAGGACAGGCCTAATTTTTTTTATAGTTTCTCCTCCGACCCCTTCTGTGGTAGTCAAAGCTGCATGCGTAAATCCAGACTGTATGTTATGCTTGTATTTACATCACTTCTAAAATATAAATGTAATGATTGACCAATTATCAAGTATTCCCCCCTGAGTATTTTCATGATTATTACTTTTTAGTAACCTGGGGAAAATATTGAACTATGGAAAACCCCTTTAAATTGTTCCTGAAAATATATATTTTACCTAAATGATCACACTTTAATTTGGGGACCAATTCTCACTATTAACTAACTATTAACTTTGACTTTTGCCTCAGTAAACTCATAATTTTCTGCTAATTAATAGTCAGTAAGGTAGCTGTTGGTCATGCAGAATAAGGCATTAATACGTGATTTATAAGTATACAGCCAATATAGTAATGTATATATTCATTAGAATATATCAGTTTGTTTTTTGCTAACACATTTGTCAACCTTAATGGCCTTTCACATTGGTTGGTCCTTTCCTATACTAAAACATTGACTGTTTAATTTGGCCTGTTTAGTACACTGCTCCATTTACACTAATAAACAAACAGGTGACTGCAGACTCCCTGGAGGCATCATAAATCATTGCAGCATAGCATGACACATAAACTCACCATGAGGAACATGATCCATACCACAGCACCACAATACTAACCAAACAGAAAGTCTGCCTACAGCTTTGGCTCAGAGATCGGACCCCTGCAGAACTAGTGCTGTCCTCTAATATGAGAAGGAACGCAGCTGAGACAGTGTTTCTCACGTCAGAGCTAGGAATGAGGTAGGAAAAGCCAAGACTATTCCCAGAGGCAATGTACACCATCATCCCTGCAGATACATAGCGGAAACCCTTCATAAAAGATTTTAGCTCTCACCCAAACAATTTTAAAAATCAACATTATGTGCTGCGCAGAATTATTGTTGTTCAATGAGAAGGTCAAATTAGCAGATATGCTAGAACTGCCCAAAACTTGACTGTGGGCCTTGGGTCATAAAGTAAATGTTGAATTTACATTAAAAAAAATCAAATTCACTTATAATCCCTCTACATTTCAATGCCATTATATAAAGTGTTAAAACAAAATTATACCTTTTCCCTATTTTCCCCTTCTCTTGTGAAATGGCATGACAAATTAATAGTCATCATGGACCAGTTTTAGGGATATCTGGCCTATGGTTTTGGGTCACACTTTAGTGAGACAGATGCTTATTCCTTTTATTGTTCCATTTATATTTTCTGTCTGAAAACAGTTTTCCATCGGAAATTGTATAAATCCCATAAACTGTATAATTGTGCTTACATGGGGTGATAAGTGTTACATAATAACTATTCTGGCAATAAATACATAAATGATGGAAATTGAGTGTTTGGTTGTATATTGCTTAATGCAAGATTTTCTGAAATCCCACCTTTGTGCTTTCAAAGCACTGCTTTGTATTTTGTACAGATGATTTTGTGTCTCAGATTTATAGATATTCTCATTTTATACGCAAAATTGTTTATGCTAAGGTTTTCTTTTAAATATATTTGGGTTGTTTGAGCTCATAGATGTGAAAAATTGATGAAATGCTCCATGAGCACCGCTGGTTAAATTAACAATGTCAGCATCTCTCTCTCTCTTAAACAGCATCCTGAACCGAGGACAAAAACAGTTCAGGAAAACAAACAAGTCTAAGGACAATTGAAGTTGTTTACCTCAGTGGAGATGGAAGGACGGTGGATGAGGAGATGGGAAAAGGACATATCCGTCACAGGCCGAGTTATCAGTCAGACTCAAAGGATCGGAAAGGACAGGCTTTCAGGATGTCCTTTTGTAAACAGTCAAGCTCATCAGAGCCTCTATACATCAGTGAAAGCTGTAAACCTATTTTATATCAACATAAATCAAACCTTAACATGGAATGGGAAGCATACTGCCTGATTCATCTAAAATGGTAAACATTTGTTAAAGCTCTGCTTAAATGATTTAAACATGAACGTGAAAGCATCAGTAGGCTACACCCTGCAGATCAAGGAAAACCTAACCTTTTGTTCACTTCACTGTCGGTCTAAAGATTTAATCATTCACATCATCAAAACATCAAAAACATCAATTTTCTCAATGACAAATGAACAATGAAATGTTTATTTGAAATGTCAAGCTCCTTGCAAAACACCTGTGGTGAATTATAAACTACCTGCCTTTGGTTTCATGGGGGGTGGGGTGGGGGGTGGGGGGTGACTGATGTATTAACAAGTTAGCAAAGTAATTGACAACGTTTTGTTTTTACATTATTTAAATTATTTTTGGTTTCGAAATTATGAAACATTTCAGAAATTAGACCTTTATCTGCCAGGTAGACTCAGACACACAATTAATGAATTCAGTAACAGAAGCTCCCAACACAGTAACGCCTCATTCACACGGGGTCAGCGTTAACGCTTGACGGAGGGCGTTTCTGAAGCGTGGTTCTGACGCGACCGTCATAGTGACAACAGCCAATCACATTAGGCTTCTGGTGTTGCATGAACGCGATTGGCTAGAGTCTGCGCTAGAGTATTTGCATACGGTCATCTGATTGGCTGACGCCTGCGTTGGCGCTTGAAAAGTTGAAAAGTTTTTTGGGTCTTTTTTTTTCTTTTCAAATCGCGCCACCTCTTGGCCATAATGAGATGACGCAGGACTTTTGTTTTGAAAGGCGTGTGTGAATAGCGGAAGTGTGCAGGGGTCCGGCTCACACAGGAATCAATGGAAATGAAAGAGCAGATAAGTTAGCAAAAAAGGCAACCAAAAAGGATATCGAGATTGAAGTCCCATTAGGAAGAGGAGAAATGAAATCAATTATTAAATCAAATATTCAAAAAGAGTGACAGAAGAAGTGGGACATAGCTGATACAGGAAGGTTTTATTTTAAAATGAATTCATCAGTTAAAGACGTATGCAATTTTGGAAGATGTAGGAAAGATGAGGTGATTTAAAATAGATTACAATTTGGGCACACAGGACTAAATGCATCACTATATAAAATAGATAAAACATATTACAGGTAAATGTGCTTTTTGTGGGGTAATAGAAACCGTTGAACATGTCGGAAATATAATATAGAGAGAATTAAAATGATAAAGAACTTAAATGGTAATAATAAAGAAAAAAAGAAGATAAATAGGATATTATGAAAAGGATTAAGAGGAGGTAGTGATCAAAGAATAGTAATGGAATATATAGTAGAAACAGGATTAAATAAACGAATTTGATAGTTAAATAAATAAAGCAAAGGAATAGGGGAACACACACGCTGGGTTTTTTGGCATGGGAGCTGAACACGCAGCAGCCAGAGATACAGCTTGGGTGAGCCCGAAATAAAATTAACAATGAAAAAATAAATAAATAAAATATGAATAGAGGCGGGACTATCATCCATGTATGATTAGAAACAGTTGGTGGCGGTATGTGCCTATGGTGCGGAATACGCCAAAAATTCCAAAGAAGAAGAAGAAGAAGAAGAAGAAGAAGAAGAAGAAGAAGAAGAAGAAGGAAGTGTGCAGCAGACTAGAGGCAGGAAGCGGCAGCATGGCGTACACGGCGAAAGTCGGACCGTCTATTTTGAGCAGCGATCTGTCGCAGCTCGGGAGGGAGTGTGAGCGAATGATGGAGTGCGGTGCTGATTATCTGCACCTTGACGTTATGGATGGGTGAGGAATAAAGTTAGCTAATTTTCGTCTAAGTTTCTCACCCAATGTTGACCTGCAGGCACTGAGAGCGACCATGACCAGAGAACCAATACCATATTACATTCTAAAGTAATTTTAATGAGCAAGAACATTTAGTTATCCCACATTTTGGCACAGGAATGATACAGCATGAATTCACCCTCGTTGCAAAAAAAAAAAAAAAAAAAAAGCCACAATATTAAGTTACAAGAAGTCATACACAGCTTGGCATTGCAGTGAGACAATTATCTTTTTCCCTTGTCAAATTTTATTTACACAAAGTTAGGGGCTTACTGGATCTGCACCCAAATGAATGTATGTATGTATGTACAGTGGGGCAAAAAAGTATTTAGTCAGCCATAAATAAATAAAGCACACACACAATTTAAAAGGTTGGGTTTGGTAAATAAATAAATGTTTTTAAAAGAAGTCTCTTATGCTCACTGAGGCTGCATTTATTTGATAAAAAAAATACAGAAGACCGTAAGTTTGTGAAATATTATTACAATGTAAAATGTTGTTTATCCCTGTGATGTCAATGCTGAATTTTTAGCAGCCATTACTCCAATCTTCAGTGTCACATGATCCTTCAGATTTCATTCAAATATGCTGAATTAGTGCTCAAAAAACTTTTGTTGTTTATTTATTATTATTGTCAATGTTGAAAACGGTTGCAGTGTTTAATACTTTTGTCAGGAGTTTTTTTTTTTTTTGGTCAGAAGTTAAGATATCTAACCCTGCCTTTTTCAATCTCTTTCCTTCATCTTTAAATTTGCTGAAGGCATTTTGTTCCAAACATCACATTTGGACATCCTATGGTGGAATGTTTACGACGCTGTATCCGACCTGATCCTTTTTTTGGTGAGTTCCAGTCATTGCAAAATTGCATCTACTCTAGTTTCGGTTTCATTTGAGCTGCACACAATCTGGTCCTCTTCGTTGGAATAGTTTTGTTAGTAATCCTCTCAAGTAGACACCCTGGGTTCTTTCACATTTTCACTCTCTTTCTGTGTTCTTAAATAAACATTTCCTCTAGGATAAACCAGATAAGTAAAACATTGCAGTGTTTGCTCTGTGTAGGTTTGGAGGCTTTGCTTACCCTTTGCCTTATTACAGACATGCATATGATGGTGTCCAGGCCAGAGCAATGGGTGAAGCCCATGGCAGCAGCGGGAGCCAATCAGTACACTTTCCATCTAGAAGCCACGACCAACCCTGGCAGCCTCATCAAGGAAATCAGGGAGAGCGGCATGAAGGTCTGTAAAAAAGGGAAGAACCGAGCGGTATATATACATATACACACTAGGGATGGGAAGATTCCCCGATTCGCTCGGTGCATCGGCATAAAAAGTTAACGATGCGATGCATGGGTTTAAAAAGTGTGCATTGGCTACAAGTTGTCATTTATATCGTGATGCATCGTTTCTAACGTAGGTGCATTGGTAAAAAACGATTTATTTATATATAATTACTAGTGGGTGCGCTAAACTTTTATTATTTAGAAAGTGACCAATAATCTGTGACCAATATTTTATAAGTAGATTGAGTTCTTCTCTCTAAACTGTTTCTCAAGCGCGCTGTCTCATCACTGCTGCTGCTGCGTGAATAAGACACATCATTACAACACCACGGAGACTCAAGGAAAAACTGGGATTAAAGTCCAAAACCGGACTTGAAATAACCTAACAAATCAATAGGGGCTAAAGCGGTTCCATTAACGACAAATTAAATTCACAATCCCTCACTAATTTGTGCACGCTTATTCTTAAGCAGACTTTAATGTTGATCATGGATCAAATCGATCCACCATGACAAACAGCTAATATATCTGTGCTGTTTAATGCATTTGAGACGTTGTGTTTTCCTCCGTGCATAACTGACATGTCACCGGTATATTTTTCATCTGGAAATGTTAGAAAGTCATGCAAATATATCCATTTTGCTGTCAGGAGTGGGCAAGGCTGACGCTTGCATGCGCACTAAACAGACTGAGCGCAATCAAATAGGAGCACAATAATTCTGAGTAAAATATTAATTTTGCTAAAAAAATGGTTTTTGGACATTAAATGTGTCTTTTGTAGAATTTTAAACCTAAATATAAAGTGTGTTTCTATCAGGAGTGGGCAAGGCTGACGCTTGCATGCGCACTAAACAGACTGAGCGCAATCAAATAGGAGCACAATAATTCTGAGTAAAATATTAATTTTGCTAAAAAAATGGTTTTTGGACATTAAATGTCTTTTGTAGAATTTTAAACCTAAATATAAAGTGTGTTTCTATGATAGCAGTAACTGTAAGTGGACTATTGTAATAGGTAAATCAAATGTAAGCTAGTAGGCTACTAATTACTAAGCTCAAATTAGTTAATGTGTGTTTCTTATAGCAGTTAAAATGGAGTCATTTTCTTTCTTTTTTAATTCAGTGATTTTACCTTTTAATTTAGTTATTTTAATGCTTTAAAGAGTAATTTTAGATTTTAATGTTCTAATGTTCTGCTATCTGTTCTGCAAACTATAAAAGGTGCAGCTGTAATAAAACCAGAGAGAAAGGCTGCATGGCTAGAAACTGAAAAAAAAGGCAAATAATAGTATGTGAGACAGTGGTAATATCATTATGTTCCTATTGGCCAGTAGAGTATGGGCTTACATTTCTGCCGCAATTCTGCGCGCGAAAGATCATATTTTGAGCACACAAGTGCATTTTGCACACGTGCAATCTGAGTTTTGTGGAGAACATTTTCTTTTCGCAAAGAAAAAAGTATTTCGAGCGCACGGAAATCAATTTTGCATTTAAAATACGTTTTTGGATGTGTGCAGACCTTCTCTTTTGCACGTGCAACGTTTCACTAGCTTGCTCACCTGATGCCACCCTCAGTGCTCGCTAAATGCCAACAGCTGGCGTGCAATGTGCCATAATTCCAGCCAATCAGAGACCGAGGCTGCTAAATTCTGATTGGCTTCCTTGACAACCAATCACAACATTTCTTGCATTACCTCGAGTGCATGCATAATTATGCAAGTTGATATTCTGATCATATTTTTTTCCAAGCACATTTTACCAATTCCAAACGACATCAATCTTAATAACTACTATTAATCTTGTATTTAATAATTTATAATTGATATATAATTATTCATGAAGGCTGAATTGAAAAATGTCTTGTATTCAGGTGTGCATAATTATTAAGCAGATTTTCTTTTACAGATAAAATGAGCCAAAAAAAAGATTTAACTCAGACTGAAAGTAAAAAAATATTAAATGCCCATGAGAAATATTCAAAACTAATACAATGCTAGAAATTGCAAAGACAGTGAAGTCACCAAGTAAGGCTACATCTGTTAACAGGTTATCTAAACAAATACAATGACACATTTTAAAGTCAGCGTGAAATGAAAATTCACCCTATATATTTTCTAATTGTATGTTATCTTATTGTGAATGATTCATCCATGCATGTTTTTTTTCCCATTAAGATCTGCTTCCATTCAACTACATTTTTTTTCTTTATCACTAATTCGTTTCACTCAGATGTACATCACAATGCAGAAAAAAATAGATCTGTTATTTATTATTCATTAATGATTTAACCCATACATTAAAGTGTTATTTTGAAACAAAATGTATTGGAGTGAAAGGGATATTGAAATAAGTTCTCACAAAACAGATGAAGATCAGTTTATGGAATTTATAATTAAGTTGTCAGTCCACAGTCCTCAGGATAGCAGAACCTGTGCTTTCCAAAATATGATCCTTCACCTTTTTGTGCCATTCTTTGGCCAAATCTCCCAACAGGTCGTATTCCTCTGCTTTTATACCACACTGCATCAATGTTTGGATCTACAGAGAAATAATAGTACAAGGAATATGAAGTATTAGGAATCTGATATTTTGTAGTGATAATTCAAAGGCGTGTTAAATTTTAGATTTCGTTTTTCAGGTCAGTAAAATTTTACCTCTAATCTCCTTTGAGCGTAATGGTAGATCATCATGAGGTTTTGGCTGGGTAAAACATGCTAACAGCATAAGAATACAGAGCAAAACACACAGATTTACAGCCATGCCTTAGTGTCTGTCGGTAGACAGAGAAGTATCACCTGTATTAAAAAAATATATAATTATATTAGTTTATATATTTAGCATAATTCATTAGTCTTTCCGGAAGAGGAAGAAAAAAATATTTATTTTTACAGATACTAAGAACATATTTGTGGTAAAATAAATGACAAAATATGGCCTAAACTAATACACTATTTATAGATTAGCACAAAATTATTTTTTTATTTTTGGCAATTTAATATTAATGTCTTCTATTTGAGGCTGCAAAGTATATACAGTATTTTCACAGGATTTTTAATTGGCAATAATTACTTTAGTAAAATAGTCTTCTATACACCATGCTATGTAAATTACACTTACAGGATGTTGTAAGGCAAGTTGTTCACCTCTTGGTATCTTATTCTGTGATCCTCAGCTGTCAGATAAAATGGTCCTTTAGTGCAGAGGAAGCATAAATGTGTCTTGTCTTCAAGGTAGCAGTTTTTCAGAGGATTTGTGATCTTATAGTCTTGTCATAGCTGTGAGTATAAGAAAACTTCTGAGCATCTTGAGTCGTTCTCCGATGTTGAGGATATTCTCGTCTGGATCCACTGATAGACTGATCCACCAGTTTATACCCCCTCTGTCGAGAAGGTGAAGACTGCACAATTTATATGTACTCAAAAACATCTAAATATGCAAATGATGTAATTTGGATATGGAGAATCCATAATCCAGCATATGTTGGAATTGAGCTTTGACAATGTGCCAGTGTTGACTGATTCCTTTATTCATAACTGACATCGACGACAAAGTGATGAAAAAGAAAATGGTGTAGTTTAAGATATTTATTTAGCAGAAAAACAAAAATGTTATATATGAAAAATATATCAGATACAATATTTCATGAAATATACCAAAGAAACTACATAGAAATCTGAATTAAGATATTAAATATTGACTATATTATGGTATAAATATTGAGTTTTTATCAAAACAACAGCAGTTCATAAGTGTAATATAGACAATTTCTATTGTGTGCATAATAGAAATGTTCGATTCTAAAAAAAGGTGAGCCTCTCATTTATTAGAATAATCTGACACTCATCTACTGAAAGATTAAAGCAATTATTAATTATATATTATTAAGATGGGAATTCCACAAACCCTTGCAGCTGATTTTATTAACATGAAATATGCTTTATGTGAATCCGTCAATGTTCTATGAGTTTGTATACCATCATGGACTTCTAAAAATATGTGAAAGAGCGCTAGCTTGCTGAAGTCAGCTTCCGTAAAGATCTTGCTTCATTGCTGCATCCTTCAGAGAAAGCAAAAAGAACAGAAGTACATGAGACATGTTTCTTCATGTTGTTACTTATATGAATACTGAGTGAATTTTCATTAGAAACTGACTAATAGTAAAGAGCTTTTGGTGACTTTCTGAAAAGACAATCTGTTAAGCAATTCAATTCAATTTCATTACAGCTCACATCCTAACCAAACTGAAAATGTTCCATAGGCACTTTCATGACCAAAGGATGTGACTAATTGATTTGTTCCAGAAGCCGAGCAGGGGATCTGATTGCTATCAGTTTAATGCGTTAAAATCACTGTGCACTGTGATTATTTTTTTATTTTTGGCAATTTAATATTAATGTCTTCTATTTGAGGCTGCAAAGTATATACAGTATTTTCACAGGATTTTTAATTGGCAATAATTACTTTAGTAAAATAGTCTTCTATACACCATGCTATGTAAATTACACTTACAGGATGTTGTAAGGCAAGTTGTTCACCTCTTGGTATCTTATTCTGTGATCCTCAGCTGTCAGATAAAATGGTCCTTTAGTGCAGAGGAAGCATAAATGTGTCTTGTCTTCAAGGTAGCAGTTTTTCAGAGGATTTGTGATCTTATAGTCTTGTCATAGCTGTGAGTATAAGAAAACTTCTGAGCATCTTGAGTCGTTCTCCGATGTTGAGGATATTCTCGTCTGGATCCACTGATAGACTGATCCACCAGTTTATACCCCCTCTGTCGGAAGGTGAAGACTGCACAATTTATATGTACTCAAAAACATCTAAATATGCACACTAAATATGCAAATGATGTAATTTGGATATGGAGAATCCATAATCCAGCATATGTTGGAATTGAGCTTTGACAATGTGCCAGTGTTGACTGATTCCTTTATTCATAACTGACATCGACGACAAAGTGATGAAAAAGAAAATGGTGTAGTTTAAGATATTTATTTAGCAGAAAAACAAAAATGTTATATATGAAAAATATATCAGATACAATATTTCATGAAATATACCAAAGAAACTACATAGAAATCTGAATTAAGATATTAAATATTGACTATATTATGGTATAAATATTGAGTTTTTATCAAAACAACAGCAGTTCATAAGTGTAATATAGACAATTTCTATTGTGTGCATAATAGAAATGTTCGATTCTAAAAAAAGGTGAGCCTCTCATTTATTAGAATAATCTGACACTCATCTACTGAAAGATTAAAGCAATTATTAATTATATATTATTAAGATGGGAATTCCACAAACCCTTGCAGCTGATTTTATTAACATGAAATATGCTTTATGTGAATCCGTCAATGTTCTATGAGTTTGTATACCATCATGGACTTCTAAAAATATGTGAAAGAGCGCTAGCTTGCTGAAGTCAGCTTCCGTAAAGATCTTGCTTCATTGCTGCATCCTTCAGAGAAAGCAAAAAGAACAGAAGTACATGAGACATGTTTCTTCATGTTGTTACTTATATGAATACTGAGTGAATTTTCATTAGAAACTGACTAATAGTAAAGAGCTTTTGGTGACTTTCTGAAAAGACAATCTGTTAAGCAATTCAATTCAATTTCATTACAGCTCACATCCTAACCAAACTGAAAATGTTCCATAGGCACTTTCATGACCAAAGGATGTGACTAATTGATTTGTTCCAGAAGCCGAGCAGGGGATCTGATTGCTATCAGTTTAATGCGTTAAAATCACTGTGCACTGTGAAATAAAACTAGGTTTAAATGTCAAATTGTGGTTTACAAATATTAGGATTGTTATCTGGGAACAATCTATTTTATAATCTGATACCAGACAAACGGCCTTTTGTGAAATGTTTTGTTTAAAAAACATGTGCTATCTTTAAAATGCATTTGGTTTAATATTTTGATATATAATTGCAAAGACATTTATACAAAATTAAGTGCAAAAGAAGATGAAAACAAATGTAGCT